CGAGTGAGTTGCGGAGAAGCACTAATATCCTTGCGCTGAAAAAACATCTCAGGAAATATCTGGTTGAAAAATGCTATTACTCTCTACATGAGTTTTACTAACACATGAAAGTATCTGTTTTTTAAATTCTTTTAAGCTGTTAATCATTTCGTTATCAGTGAATTGTCTATTATCGTGGAGTAAATGTATTTTAATTTCACTTTTTATTCGAGTTTTAACGAAAGTATGTATGTTTTCTTTTTAAGCTTTTAACCATTTGTCCTCACTGCTCGATGTTTATTGTGTTTATATATTATGTATTTCAACAGATTCTCCTACCGCTTTTCTTTTCTTTGTATCAGCTTCAATGATTTTTACCGGCTAGACGAACATTTTTTGTGATAAAAAAAGTCGCTGTATATGTATATACTTTTACACATTACGATTCTTGCACTGTGCCTGTACCTATAATGTGATTTAACCTTTTAAAATGTTTTGTAATTGTAATGTCCTTATTTATTTTATAATTATAAGTATTTTTCTGGCATATTTGCTCAAATGCATATATGACCCTCAAATTGATATTGACAAGTCTTATATCATGTAACATGATCTAACAGGACAATAAACTATCTATCTATCTAATTCTGGCTTGGGTATCCAGAATTTTGGAGGGGAAAGAGATTGGAAGAAGAATAACAAATTTCTCTCGTAGCCAGGCTGCGATGAAGGCACTGAATGCCTACAAGATTACTTTGAGCATTGTATTGGCAGGGAGGCTCTGGATAGTTTAGCAGCGAGACATACGTTATCGTAGGTGTGGGTCCCGAGGATAAACGGCAATGACATGGCGGACGGTCTTGCAAAAGAAGAGCCAGCGGGCAAGGTTGTTGGACCTGAACCAGCCCTAGGGATTTCCGCGTAGAGTCAGGAGGAGAAATTGATTGCTGGACAGCATACTCTGAAATAAAGAAGTATCTCTAGACATATCCGTCAAGCACGGGAGCTTATCCAATAACGTCAATGCCCAATTATCGTCATTGCACGTAATATACAATGTAGCATCGCTGCACCGGCTATAAAATACATACATGGCTAATGCTATAATGAAATTGAGTAGTGAATCACGAGTAATTTACGGCGCCATCCGACACTTCCGTAATTTTTGCAAATGTACGTGCAAAGGCCACTGGAGTATTCTGGGGGAAAGGTTTTTACCTTTGCCATCAGAACAGCCATGCCATGATTTTTCCACAGCAACAATTATAGCAGCAGTCAATATTATGGTGAAAAATCTGTGTGTTAGCTTGGGGTAATTTTATGCAGATACGATATTTTGCACGAAAGTACATTTGAGGTTTTATTTTTATGGAATGGGGCAATTTAAGTTGGAATTCTGTAGAAGCTCTTAAGAGGATCCACCACACATGATAGCAGTATTCATTCCCTTTAGATTGTTATCAAAATCTTAATTTTTAAAAACTGCACATAAATAAGAGGCAATCCTAAAGCAAACAACGATATGTTAGTGTGATAGGATCTAAAGATTCCCGCAGACAATGTTTCAAGGAATCGGCTGTTTCCATGCCGAGGGGTCAAATATGACACGAATTATGAATTTTTCAACTTTCCATCTGAGCATTTAGGAAACTAAATAATTATCTTGATAATCTAAAGCTTTATACTGTCAGATTTTGTCGTTTCTGTAACCATTTTCTTATATTAAAGCTAACATGTGGCGAAAACTACGGATTCATCCACTTTACAGCCCAACATTTTGAAAAAGAGATGGTGGGCGTCCTTCATATCTTGAAGGCAAGCCTTAATATGTTTCTACCTTTATATGACCTATTTTTAAGCATTTGTATGTACCGCTTTCTCGAAAGACGTAATATGGGAAAATAAGTTTCTCCTAAAAGTCTGTGCAAATGTGATAAAGAACAGGTATTTTATTCAAACTTCTCAACACCCTGAAATTTGATCTATAAATTGCAACACCATAAATACGATTGAAATCACAACAAAATTTTCAGTTCAATAAACTGATCTGAATCAAACTATAAGGTCTAAAATCTTTAGGACTATTTATAGCTAAATAAGTAGCTACGTAGAAATGAAGCTAATAAAAACGTGCGAAAAGAACAGAAAATTCTCGAAAAAGGCACGTGAGTAATCCAATTGATCAGGGAACGAGGAAATTGGTACCGAACCTTGTTTATGTCGACGCAGTAAAATGAAAATGGGGAAAGCTTAAAAGGCATCATGTGCGATGAACACGTGGCTATATAACACGCGTCATGGCGTTGCTGTTTTTTAAGGCCAATAAAAAATATTAGGAAAGCGCATTCCGGATGACGTTCTTTTGACTACTGTCAACTAAAATCAGACGATTCGTTCTTTTAGAAACCTGTGAGAAAAGGGTTACTGTGTCTACTAAATATCCAAACAACAAACAAACAAACAAAGTTTCTAATAGATAAAATGAGGAAATTTACTACCCCCAAAAAATTTTGGAGGCTGAAATACTTCAACAAAAAGTGGAGTCCTGTCGATGGCCTGCCTGGGAAAATTTTCTATGAGTGCGTATGTCTTGCTAACTTGACCCGTTCAAAAAATAAGTTAGAGGAGCTTTTCTAAAAAGTGATGTATAAGACCTATGAATTTGGGAAGATTTTCCAGTGATTCTAAATTTTAGAGAATTTTATCCAAATGATACAGTTTCAGTTACGCATGATTGTTTAGAGCAATATTTGATTGTTAAGCCTTAAATAGTAAACGAACCACGAACAAACATTTCTGCATAAGTGTATACAGTCAACAGCAGGTTATAAAAATAGTATCGCCCTCTATCTACACGCATATCGATCGGCAGCTATGTAGTATTTTTAAACATAATTTCTGAGAATTCACTTCACGCTATCGATTAAACAATGTTTGTAAACATAACGCACCAACGAACGTCTGTGAATTCTGTTAGATCATTAGTCGATCGTTTTTCAATACAGTTACTTGTCATTCTCATTTTCCGTGAAAAAAAAAAAATGTAATTATCGTTTCAGTTCCATTCCCATTCTTTGGAAAATATCCAATACACATTATTTATTAGCTACGCCGACCTCACACTGATAATCTGTTACTATCACGAATAAAAGCCACTACCGTGGCAACATTGAGCCTGAGCCCATTAACATAGAAACATGTTAAACCGTGGCTCGCTTAACTTCAAATCTGTTGGTTCTATATTATTACTTAATTTACATGATTTATGACAAATCTTGCCTAACAGATGTATATACTCTACAAGTGAGAGTACATACTTCAAATATTAAAACTACAGTTTTAATGTGCTATAATCGACCAAATCAAAAAATGCACAAACAAACCGGATTCACATGGTGCATGGGGATATGGGATAACGTTTTTGGTCACAAGTTCAGGCCGAGATTTTCATGGTGCAAAGTGACGAATTTATGATTTGCACCTCTCAACCGGGTTTTTTCTGAAATTATTTCCTATTCGTGCATTACTGTCATCATTATTTTGTATGAGCTATTGCTAATAACACCATGGTACCTTGTCTGTCGATACAACGATACAATACGAAAAAATCCATCAGGCATAACGTTTCATAGGTTTAGTATATTGTAAAGACAAATACATGCATGGCCGAATTCTTAATAGTATGTCTTCCTCAGCGCCGGCCCCTGAAACCGGTTTATATAGCCAAAACAGATTCTAACAGAGGCTCTCTAAATACTATCTCGATGGTTGAAGCATTCAGATTACCTGCGATGTATCCTGTTTTCAAAAACTATGAAACTTTTACATCCTAGTTACTGTAGTAATTTGAGATTGTTGAAGAACCAAATCATGACCAGCGCAAAGGCCTGAATAGACCGTTCAATTAAGTTTCAAGATTGACAGCATTTGATGAAATTACCTTGTCTTGAGCATTTAATCTTTCCTAGTTTGTGGCCGCAGCAAATACATGGTTACGGAAAAGTGGATAACGTGACTTTTTTCTTGTTGGCGGCATGCCGTCGAAAATAAAATTGGAACGCGATCATTATTGGCTTCGGCTCAAATGGTCATTTGGTGGTCGGCAGGTCGGTCGATTGCCTGCTACCTACTTCTTAGGACTGATCAATATTTTTGTCCAGGAACCAGATCACACACTCAGAAAAGCTCGACTTGATTTTTGATATTTTTTTAAATAGAAAATGGGGTCGAGTAGGTTGACTCTGCGTCAGTTCATAAAAAAATTGTTCGGAATAAGTGAGCTGTTTTTCGAAAAATAGTTAATAACAAACATAATGAAATAATGGTATTAAATGAATCAAGTCAGTCAAAGAGGCTATACAATTATTCCTCAATCCCCAGCCATCTGACAAGCAACGGCAACGTCGTGATCAAAATTGCGATTAAACCACCAGCAGCGGCTACCTCGCTACAGGTTCAATTTCTATTTTTCAAGTCAAGTATACAGTAAAATCTATGTATGAAATATGTCTAATATTTAGAGTATTATTTCCATAGAAATATATTAGCGTCAAAAAATTGACATACCCTCCACAATCCCATGCAACCTACCATCCCCAATTCTCAAAAAAAAACCGAAGAGTGCTCCACTGTCTCTGGATCGATTTTCAAACATTACAAATCCCTTCTCGTCCTTAGTATAGTAGCAAACAAGAATCAAAATTTCATCCCAATCTGAGCAGTACCTTCCAAGCTACAGAGGGTCCAAGGATTAGCGGGCAGGCAGACAGATCCACGGAAATGAGAGGCATGGTTTTTCGTAATGTAATAAAACATCCAAAAAAAATATCTCTATTTCGATAACCATACTTCCTCGACAGTTGGCATGGGTAGTAAAATACGATTATTTTAGATATTTATTTTTCCGGTAACCTTAAATCCCTATTTAGAGATGTTCTTTTAAAACCTCTACCTACAGATGTCTTAGGCTTTTCCACCTACCTTGCTCAACTTTTCACCCTCATGGTGCGGCAACAGGGACCTCAATGACTGGAATCCGTTGTTGATGCTCTGCATTCGTCTGCGTTCGTTGCTGTTCGCGATCTCGCGACGAATGCGTTTCTCGCGCTCCATTACCGCCGACGTTGTCGGAGGTTCGCCGCCGCCTTTGTTTATTCTGCAAAAAAATTAGCGTTAAGTAGATTGACTTTGCACTTCACTTCACTTTGCACAACGCTGTCATCAGTTCATAAAGGATTATTACGTTCGGTACAACTAAGACCCTCTGAGAAAAAAGTTGGCTACGAACATGTATAGCAAGTCTTTAGTAATGTTGCTATAACTAGCCTCGGCACTCGCGAGTCACGCTCAGAGACCGGGACGTAAGTGTATTCAAAAATGCGTGTGGTGAAAATATTTCTTTTATTATTCAAAGTTTTTTGGACATAGGATAATATATAATGTATGGAATATGTCTCATAGGTGTGTTGGATTATACCCGTCATTTCCTACAACCTCCAATTTTTAACCTAGACACACTCGGCGCGGTTAAGTCAAAAATCTACGTGTAAAATGAATATGTCTAATAGGGTATAACCTAAAGCCACCAATTTTTCACCCCTCAAAAAATTTCCAAAACAAGCAGCGGCATATGAATCGTCAAATAAAGTTTGGGTGATTTTTATTTTTTCGTTTTTCTCCTCTTGGACCCCCACTGGAGTAATGTTCTAAAATTACAAAACGTTTTCGTCCTTACAGTAGTTACCTTATAGAAAATTTTCTTCAAAACCCGAGCGACAATTCCCAAGTTATAACGAGGCCAACGATTAGCGGACAGACAGACCGACGGAAATGAGTGACATTTGTGACGTAAAGGTCATGTAACATCCAATAAATATATTCTCTCATTTGGGATTACTTGCTCAACAGTTGGCCTGGGTAGTAAAAACAAAAAGTTAATCTCAATGATGTTCTGGCAGACAACAACAACAAACATGTTACAGATTAAGAGTTCTACCAGACAATCATGATCATATTTTAATGCTATATAAAGGGTGTCCCAAAATTAACGCAAGATTTGAATTAAATAGAAAATGCCATTTTTAGTCTTTTAATAGTTATATTTTTATTGACTCATAAAGTACATAGGATAGGGTTATGTATGGAATAACACATCGGACAAATGGCCTCCACGGCTTTGCATGCACATGCGCACTCTTTTGTCGAAATTTTCCATGACCCTTCTGCATAAATGTGGCTGAATTTCGTTGATGCAGCGTTGAATCTCCTCCTTTAATGCACGGGTGGTTGTGGGCTTGTTGACATAGACTTGTGATTTCAAATAACCCCATAAAAAGAAGTCTAATGGTGTTAAATCACACGATCTAGGAGGCCAATTTTGATCACCGAAACGAGAGAGTACACGACCGGGAAATGTCTCATGCAGTAATTGAATTGTTTCACGGGCTGTATGACATGTGGCACCGTCTTGTTGAAACCACATATTGGGTACATCAATATCATTCAATTTTGGCAGAAAGAACTGTGTAATCATGTCGCGATATCGAGCACCAGTAACAGTCACTGCTTGACCAGCATCATTTTCAAAAAAATATGGCCCAATTATGCCTCTAGCCCAAAATCCACACCAGACAGTCACGCGTTGTGGGTGCATTTCTTTTTCGACAATCACACGTGGGTTCTCCGAACCCCAAATGCGGCAATTTTGGCGATTGACAAAGCCATCAAGATGAAAATGTGCTTCATCGCTTAGGATGATTTTGCTTGAAAAATCAGGGTCCATTTGTTGATGTTCAATAATCCATTCAACAAACTCTCTTCTCTCTGCATGGTCATTAAGCTTCAATTGTTGTGTTAATTGAAGTTTGTAAGCATGAAGACACAGATCTTTGGTGAGTATACGCTGTAGAGAGGTTCTTGACATTTGCAATTCTTGTCCACAACGTCGAATTGAGGTTCCTGGATTGTCCGCAACACTCTCACGCACTGCTTCGATATTCACATTTGAACGGCTTGTTTTTGGACGACCAGTGTGTTTGGCGTCTCCAACGGATCCAGTCTCCATGACTTTTTCAATTAATCTCTTCACAGTTGACGAAGTTAAAACACTATTCCGGCCATATTTTGTATGAAATTTTCGAACTGCAGCCGCCAAGCTTTCACTATTTTTGAAATATTCTTTAATAATGAAGACACGTTGTTCTATCGTGTAACGCTCCATTTTTCATAACCCTATACTGTTAGCTGTCAAATTGCTTTTTTTCAGGGTTGCCAACACTTCACTGCACAAATGGCGGCAAATTCAAATCTTGCGTTAATTTTGGGACACCCTTTATATATATATATATATATATATGTATATATATATAAATATAAAGTATTCGAGAAGGACCGAGGTGATCATTTACGCGAAAAGATGGCGTTACAATTACGAGAATTTGGGTTTAGTATACTAACATATTTTCGAAAATGTGACACCAGAAGTATCATCCCCATCAATCTGTATAGTTTATATGGAATACCGTGTACTTAAATTTTTATTCTAACCGATTTTGAAATAGGAAGTTTAATGTAAAAACAGTCAATCACAAACGCAGACCGATCTGTAGTGTTTAGGTAACAGACCATACAGAGTCACTTTTTTCAAACCACTCAACTGAAAATACTTTTGCAATGGCTACACTTTAGCGGAATTCCGAAGCATCGTACTCTTTGACAATCTTGATGACAGAAATTTCCCTAGATTTACCCGAACTAAACAAATCTGTAACGTCGCTAATTATAATCTACATTTCACTAGAAACAAACTCTAAATAAAAAAACACAACTGGTACATAGTACTTAATTATATGGTATTTTCCAATATAGAGATAATACAAGGCGACTAAAAAAACGATGGCAGAAAGTAGACCCAAAAACAACTCAAAACGTTTCTATAATTATGAGTGCCAAAATGTCCTTTACTCTTAGATAAGTATTGAAATTTCGAAATCAAGAAAAAATATATCATCTGCGGAGTTGATAGATATAATGACTTAAGATGTTGTACATGTAGTATCAACACCATTATCAATACATACAAAAATGTCTGTGGCTCAAACTACGCTAGTGGCGTAAAAAGTGAGATATTTTAACTCCTGCTTAAGAAAAAATATTTTCTACGCCACTAAATTATCTACCTTAACTTTGTCCGAATAATCGAGATAAAACCAGGATGAAAAATAAATACTTTGAAAATACACCGAATTTAGTGAAATTTGACAATGAAAATTGTATGTAGGACATTAGTGGAGTGAGGCTATTCAACATACTCTTATTTAAAGCTAATTCATCTTCTATCCCCAGCCTGTGCCGTCAGCGGCGTAGAATTTGACGTGTCTTGGCAATGAGATATTTTAGAACCCAGATATATACGATTTATGTTATTTTTCCATGTACTGCCTGCTTTGGTAGTATTCTATTCTACTTATGTAAGAACAACATACCCATCAATCACCCCTTCAATGTGTACGTTGCACATATACCATTTCAAAATGCTCATACCTGAACACCAACAAGCGATTAGTTTTCCTTGAACCTGCCAAAATATTCGCTTCCGAACATAAAAACGATTGACGCGCATTCAAAGGAAGGCTGAAAATAGCGGTCACCAAGACCTAACGTAAATATTTTTCAATTCAATGTTCGCGTTAAAATCCCCTATGAGTGATTTCAGCTGTCGGAAGTTTTTGTCATAACATGAGATGATTCGTATGATTTGTTTATTTTTTATTTGTTTAGTCTATTTACAGTCATATAATGACCATAAGGTAACCTCAACCTGGACGGGTCAGTCTCTCCCAATCATGCTGGGCGACGTTTATCCGTTCACAGAACGGTACCTATCATACAGTGTATACCAGAAACGTAGTGGCCTTCTGCATTTTCAGCATATGAGCCGAAGTTTTGTCGAACTATTTGAAGGTGACAGTTGTCATTTTTCATAATCTCATTTTTGGATGTTAACATTAATGAAGTAGTTTACCGGCGGAATAATAAAAATTGCCTTTTCGCTCGAAAATTTTTTTTAGGTTTTTTGAGTTATTCAAAACAAAAGCAAGGTGCCTAGTAACTTCTCTACCAAATTAACCGTTTTAATGTCTGAAAAAATGACGTCAAGTAAGTTGACTGTACTTCCCACGATGCGCTGTCCGCATCAGGATTATGATTGGCACCAGCTAGCCCTTCTAAAAAAATGTTAGCTACGAACAAAATGTATAACAAACAATTAAATGTCCTGACAGCAATTGCTGAAGGCGCACATGAGCGTTGAGATAGCCAATCCCGCGTGAATGACGATATTAGCGATAACCAAGTATGACGCTTGTCGATCGGGGATCACGTCGTACGTATCGACACCCGACTGTAGGAGGTGTTTCTAAGTTTTAATGGTAACTATGCGGGGACATCGATGATGATTGAAATATGCCTAATGCGAGAGTGGAATTGCTCGGGTTGGAGGCGTATAAATATACCAATGTCAAAAAATTGAGATATATCGTCCCCCCCACCCCCTCAACTCCTAACTCACAATTTTTAACCACTACAAATTTTTTTCCGAAAATGGTCATTATCGTCTGAAACGTCGAAAAACGAAGTTTGAGAGATTTTTTTTGTTTTAGGCCTGTTCCTTCGCCGCCAATGGACCGACTGACTTTAAAAAAGTACTAAACTAAAAGTTTTTGTGTCCTTGGTATGGTAGTAGCATTCCTTAAAAATTTCATCGAAATTCGAACGGTACATGTCATGTAAGATTCAAAACACATGTATAATGTTCGAAAATGTTCGCCATTATAATACTTTACCGCCAGTAGGCATGGGAAGTAAAAATCTAAAAACGATCATTTTCAATGCTTAAAACCTCGATCAAAAACCATTATTTTTGAGGTTGTGAAGTATCTAAATTAAAGTTGAACAAATCTGCACCGGATTACCGTCCGGCAACCATTAATTCTTCGAACAAACGTGATTGAGAAAAAAAAAATAGTTGAAAAATTTCTTCCATGAATGCGGTTTTATTTAACATTTACTCAATACTGGTGGTACGGCTTAAGTGACAGTTA